ATCAAGAACGTAGGCAATCTTTTCGGCCCTAAGAACAATTCTCAGGTTCCGATACCAGTCCATAAAGTTTGAACCGGTCAGTTTATTCGTATCAAGTATTGAGCGCAGTGACAGTGGATTAGTCATACTAAAAACTGAAAAAAAAATGTAAAGAAAGATTAATTAATATATTGTCGTGTTACAATTTATTAAAGACTTTAAATAAATTGCCCCTCCCACTATTTTATCTAAGTCAATGACCCTTACCATTTGACTTAGGGTTAATCTACTTTTAGATTTTACCTTAGTGAGATTAAGAGTGCGATTATTTATTTTAACCCTCGTCTGAGACCGCAAGATTAATTTAAATAATGGGTTGATCCTAATCAACAGTATCTCATACCCTCTCTTAACATTAGGTTGACAACTCCTTGTCACTTAGTGGTGCATCTCATGCAACCAACCTAGCATTATTACCCTAAGCCCATAAGCCCGGCTGGGCCTGCAACTTATGCCTCAGTTAAGCATTAACCAGCACCCTAAGTGTCTAACACTTCTAATACTACTCTTACTCAACGAAACAGTGGGTCCCAACTGAGTTGTGGAGCACCACTATGTAGAGGAGGTTCGAGTAATATTGGTGGTGGGAGGTAATCATATGCTTAATAATTTATTCCTTTTAAGGGTTCCTTTTATTTAGGGATTTTATTAGGTCTCATCAAACGCATTAATATATTATCATGCTAGTCGTAACCTATGTCATACATCTATCGGTTTAGACTAGTCGAAATTGGACGTGCATAATAATCATACAAACGCGATTTGTCCAATTCATGCATACTAGACGTCATAAGCAATAAAGCATACATATCGTGATCCACTATCTCATGCATGCTAGTCGTACAAAACATACATGCTAATAAAACAATTTATTTTGAGATAGTCATGGTGCTCGATCTTTTGTCCATCTTGCTTCTCAAGCCACGGCTTCTTGTCGTCTATACGCCACTAGCCTAAATTCTCTAATTACAATTAAAGAAACTCCAAAACATTTTGGAGGGACAAAATTTAAAATACAAAATTTAAAAATCAAATTACAACTCTAATTTAAAGAGCAAAAATTACACATTAATTTTAAAATTCGAAATTTAAACTTCGGGCACCATGACCATCCCCTTCCTCTTTTGCACCTGAAATGTTAGACAACTCACAAGTACAAAATATTATCATATAATATGTTTTTCACATATGTCTTGATATTTAACAATTAAACATCAAAACAAAAAATTAAAATTAAAATTTTCTTAGATTTCTCAATTGGCCGAATTATATACAACCATTAATATAACTCAAATTTTATTGACTCTTTCTCAAAGAACATAAAATTTAAACCATGCATGTAGCCATCTACACTTGATGGCCGAACCATATACTAATGTATATGAGATTAATTTTCGAAAAATTTTATTACATGCTTTGCTCATGAAACAATTCATGAAAAATAAGAAAACAATCAAGGTGTTCAAAACACCTTTCATGGTCGAACTCCACCTTTCAAAAAGGTGTTTCCTTTTAAAACTTTCATAAAGAAAAGAATGATAACCATGAATACATATGGATATATGAACACAGCAATCAAATTAAGATGTTCATAAAAAAAAAACAAAAACAAAACTTTAACCGTTTAAAGTATTGTAAATTAAAATCCATACATAAAAATTGAATCTTTAACTCTTTAAAGAAATTTTAACCGTGAGAAACAGGTTCACAAACAAGGTACCATCACCCGTCTATGGTAAAGTAACCGGGCTCTGATACCACTTGAAAGTAGAATTGGCCTTGAAGGCCGAAACATGCGTGAGGGAAAAACAAAATTTTTCGCAAGCGGAACACACATGCATATCAAGATACATACTTTAAGACGTATGTCATACCTTGTTCGTGAAAACTCAAGATGATCAAGGTAGGTCTGAAGGGTTCAGACCCTCTAACGTTGATCCACACCACCCGCGTCTAGATACAGGAACTCCTTCCAGTAAGGCCGCCGATTGATCACCACAATAAGGCTTGCTATGCGCTCAGTGTGTGATGCAGGAGGCTAGGTAAAAGTGTTTAGAAGAGTGAAGTGTTCTAAGAGAAAACCTCACAAGGGGCGCATAGATGAGTAGAGAAAGGCTTGGCTTTTCACACAAACCTAAGGAGGAACTAACAACTACATTAAGCACACAAGAGGAGCCTTTTAAGTTTCAAAAACAAATCAGATTTTTCTCCCAAAAATCTGATCAAAGTGGCGCCCTTGGGGAGAGAATAAGTGGAGTTGTTGCATTTCAAAAATTGCCAACAACATCCCAGAATATTCTCATGAGACTAAGTTCAAAACCTAGTCAGAAATCTGATCATGAATCATCATATAATCAGCTATATGGTGCGCCCCATATAGCCTAAAAGGTGACCAGATACATTTGAGTTAGTTGCATTTCAAACTTAAATCAACTCACTCAAATATTCTCCCAACAGACCGTATCTTCTGGAGCTGATTTTGATGATCAAATCTAGCCAAAATCAGCACCCCATTATCCTTGGATTATGTCCAAAAGATCTCCTCCTGATATGTTCCAACAAGATCTCATCTTATCCTTTTGTTATGAAACAACTTTTCATAGCCAATTCAAATTCGAATTTCAAACATTTGAATTCAAACTTTCAAACACTTAAATTTTAAATTCAAATTCTAAATTCAAATTCAAATTTCAAAATTCAAAATTCAAATTTCAAATTTCAAAATTCAAATTCAAAATTTAAATTTCAAAATTCAAAATTCAAATTTCAAATTTCGAATATCAAATTTCAAATTCAAAATTCGAATTTCCAAATTCAAATTCAAAATTCAATTTTCAAATTTCAAATTCAAAATTCAAAATTTAAACATTTGATAATTAATTTAACTAATTAAATTAATTAGTAATGTCTTGGACTATCCAAGCCCATTACTTTGATCCATGCGCCCTCCACCCTATCTGTGGAGTTCCAAACTACTTCTTGGGCTAATAACAATTGTTAGGCCCAATACCTTTAATGCTAGAGCATCTAGACAATTAGGTGTTAGTGTGTGACCCATTAGGTCCAACATAGCCACTGACATAAATGGGCTTGGGCCCAATAAGCCCACAACCCATCTAATGACAACACAGAGCACTAGCAATGCTTTGTTGCCCCAGAACTAGTTAGATTAATGACTTGATCATCCTATTACACATATTTGGTTGCCGTATATATTTCCTTTCGTCTCGGTTACCTTCCCATAAAACCTAGGGTAAGGAAGCGTATCAACCCCTGCGGTTTAGGGTAAGCTTTATTCGAAATAGGGAATCTTCAATTTACAGACTCTAAAGGCAGATCATCTCATGATCTCTTTTACTATGCATATATTCCTGAGTCCCTATAAATGTCATCCCGATTTCTCCGGTTTACAGATAACCTAATCTCTTTCAGAGATTTGACGAATTCCTTCAGCTTATCACCCTAGCCCTGTGTTCTTTCAGGACAAGCCCAACAGTATACCTATGAGTCTCCATGTTTCAGGCAGACGAGGTGCACAATCAAAGCATGCCTTCTAGAACACAGTCTAGGTAATAACTTCTGGTCTTAGGAAAGACATACCCAAATATAAAGAGAATACTCTAATGATACTCTCTGTGAGAGTTCCTCATAGAGTCTCTTTGTGGGTCTGTTCAGTGCGAGCTATACCCTTATAGGTCCACCCACGACTTTAGCTAAGACATCTCCATATCTGTAGCTCATGAGGTCTTTACCTTGCATCCAAATACAAGTAGATAAGTCGTGCTAGTCTTACCCGAGATCACTGATCCCCATTCTCAGTGTCTCTAGACTAGGAACATAAAATTAGGAATAAACATGCAGTATCCTTGAATCCTTATGATCGTGATCTCATCACAGATACTCAAGAGATACCTATTTTATTCCAAGGGGTTTATCCAGTTACTCATATAAATATTAAAAATAATATTGAGACAAAATATGAAACAGGATAAATAGTGCTTTTATTTGCGTCAATATAAAAGGTCTACATATGTCCTAATCTAATCAAAAGATTGTCTCTAGGACATCCATATACTAACAAGGAGAGCCGTGAGCGCAGGTTGAATGCTTTTCGTATGCATAACCCGCCTTCTTTCGATGGAGCCTTTGACCTAGTTGCTGCTGCTAGATGGCTTCAGGCTTTGGATAAGATTTTTCGTGTGATGTAGTGTACTGATCAACAGAAGCTTATGTTCGCCACTTATAAACTGGAGGGTGATGCTCATGAGTGGTGGACGAATAACGCTCTCGTGTATGAGATGCAGGGTCAGGTTATTACCTGGCCATTCTTTGAGGACCTGTTCCTTGGGAGGTATTTTCCCTTTGATGCGCAGGAAAGAAAACAAGGTGAATTTGAGAGGTTGACTCAGGGGAACATGACTGTTGATGAGTACTTGGCGAAGTTTAATGAACTAGCCAAGTATGCACACTTTAGGCTTGCTATGCTTACCCCTACATTCATGGCAGCTAAGTTCAGAAGAGGTCTGACTGTTGACATAGCTGACAGGATTGCTGGAGCTGCTTCTAGGGATTTTGGTACCCTGGTCCAGCAATGCAGGGACATTGAGGATGTATGCGTGGCTAGTAAGGCCAGGCGGGCCAAGGACGCAGAGGCCAGAGGAGCTGGTGGTTCCTTTTAGGGGAGAAATAAGAGATATGATAGTAAGGGTAAAGGGAAGTTTCTACAGACCAGACAGCCAGCAAACGAATTCAAGAGGACGTCTACACAGCATAGAGGGTTTGCTAGACCCCCTCCTACTTCCCCTAGATGTGCGAGTTGTGGGAAGGAGCATTGGGGCTGTTGTGCTTCAGGAGAGATAGTGTGTTTTAAGTGCAGGAAGAACGACCATGTGGCCAAAGATTGTTATGCATCGGGAGCTCAGTCCGCAGTTGCTCGTGTTGCACCTCCACAGATGATACCCATGCCGCCTGCTCTACATTATGATGCACCGTCTATGGTACCGCCCACTGCACCACCATTTGTACCACCTACTGCACCACCAGCCACGGGCCGAGTGTACACCCTTGATCGCCAGCAGTCAGACAGGGCACCATACCTTGTTAGAGGTACTATTTCCATTGGTGGTTATGATGTGGATGTATTGTTTGATTTCAGGGCTACACACTCTTTCATCGCGACCCTGATTGCTGTGGGGCTTGAGTTGCCCATTTCTATGCTTTCTCCACCTTTGCGGGTGACTACCACCACTGGGGAGAAATGTGATACTTCCTCTGTACACCGTGATGTTGTGTTTCAGTGGGATGGCCGTGAATTTTTGGTAGACCTGATTGGTTTGCCTATGGCTAATTTGGAGATCATCTTTGGCATGGACTGGTTGTCCAGAAACTGTGTGATGATTGACTGTTGTGCTAAAAAAGTGGTGATGTCTCCTTGTGATTTCCCTACCGGTTCTTCTCCTTATTTATCAGTGCTTCAGGCGATAAAGGCCCTGAGAGCAAGAGCATTGGGCTATGTTATGCTGGGAGTTTTGGTGAGAAGGACACAAGAGGATATTACCAGCATTCCCGTGGTGAGGGAATTCCTTGAGGTGTTTCTTGAGGATATTCCTGAATTTCCGCCACAGCAAGAGATAGAGTTTTCTATTGATCTTTTACCTGGTGTAGGGCCTATTTCACTAGCTCCATACCAAATGTCTCCACCTGAGTTAGCGGAACTAAAGAAGCATAATGAGGATCTTTCCGCGAAAAACTTCATCCGACCGAGTGTGTCTCCATAGGGAGCACCAGTCATCTTGGTTAAGAAGAAAAATGGGACATGCGATTGTGCACCGACTACAGCCAATTGAACAAGGTGACAATCAAGAACAAGTATCCCCTCCCACACATTGACGATCTTTTGGATCAGCTTAGGGGTGCTCGCGTTATTCCAAGATTGATCTTCGGTCCGGATACCATCAGATCCGGGTTAAGCCGTAGGATGTCTCCAAGACCGCATTTCGTTCGAGATACGGTCATTATGAGTACTTGGTGATCCAGTTTGGACTCACCAATGCACCAGCAGTGTTCATGGATTACATAAACCGTATTTTTCAGCCATACTTGGATCGGTTTGTGATCGTCTTCATTGACGATATTCTGATTTACTCGAAGACGAAGGAGGTTCATGCGGAGCACTTGAGGATTTTGTTGCAGGTGCTGAAGGAGAAAAAGCTTTATGCTAAACCTTCAAAGTGTGAGTTTTGGCTCAAGTCAGTGAAATTCATTGGGCATGTGATTTCTGCAGAAGGAGTTGCAGTGGACCCAAACAAGATTGAGGCCGTGTTGAATTGGGAGAGGCCCAAAACTGTTACAGAAGTGAGGAGTTTCTTGGGTTTGGCAGGTTACTATAAGAGGTTCATTGAGGGATTCTCCAAGATGGTATTGCAACTGACTCGCCTAACCCGGAAGGAGACTCAATTTGTGTGGACTCACGAGTGTGAGGAATGCTTTCAGGAGTTGAAGGAGAGATTGACCACTGCACCAGTGTTGGTCCTTCCTGATCCTGTTGAGCAGATTAAGTTGTACTGTGACGCCTCTAAGAAGGGGCTGGGTTGTGTGTTGATGCAGACTGGTAAAGTTATTGTTTATGCTTCGAGGCAGTTGAAGCCTCTCGAGGAGAACTACCCGACTCATGATTTGGAGTTGGCTGCTATTGTTTTTGCCTTTAAGATTTGGAGGCATTACTTGTATGGTATGAAGTTTGCGGTGTTCAGTGATCATAAGAGTTTGAAGTACCTGTTTGACCAAAAGGAGTTGAACAAGAGACAAAGAAGATGGATGAAATTTCTGAAGGACTACGACTTTGAGTTGAAGTACCACCCAGGCAAGGCCAATATGGTAGCTGATGCTTTGAGTCAAAAATGTGAGTCTATCCAGTTTGATGATTGGTGACTATGATGTGATTGAGAAATTTCGAGATTTGACAGTGACCTCTTTGTTTAGGGGTGCACTTCTGGAGATGGAGACTGTGAGAGTTGAAAATGAGTTGATGGAAAAGATCGAGGAGGCACAGGTGCAAAGGGAGTGCCTGGACTATGTGAAGAACCAAGACGGTGTGTCTTGGAATGAGGAGGGATTGTTGATGTTCCAAAAAAGGATTGTAGTTCCTATAGGTCCATTGACTGAGGAGGTGATGTCAGATGCTCATAAGGGCCAATTCACTATCCACCCTGGGGCTACAAAGATGTACCAAGACTTAAAGAGGAATTTCTGGTGGCCGGGCATGAAAAAGGAGATAGCCGTGTATGTGTCCAAGTGTTTAATATGTCAGAAAGTGAAGATTGAACACCAGAGGCCGCCTGGTAAGCTTCAACCTCTTGAGATTTCGCAATGGAAGTGGGAGAGCATTTCCATGGATTTCGTTGTAGGGTTGTGTAAGAACCTGCATCGTTAAATTAGGAATTTAAATAATTAATTATGAGTTTGAGGAAATAATTCCATAATTAACTTGAATAAATATGGAAAGACTTAATTAATTATCAGAAGGGTTTAATAATGCTGAAAATTGCTTTTCTGACGAAAAGTGCAGATACCGGTTCAGCTTCACGGTATAAATGCGTACCGATAAAGTATCCTAGAAAATTATAATAAGTGTAAGAATATTCCTAGAATAATATATAGGACTAGTAAAACAAGTTTGAAGTCAAAATAATGAAAACTGGTGTCAGAACTAATACTGGCTACGTAAAAGCGCGTATCGAAAAAGTGCTGCGAAAAATAAAATAAAAATATGATAAATCTTAGAAAAATGTCTAGGTTCAGAATCCAAAGTTTGAGATTAAAATACTAAGCGTAACTATTACTGCTAATACAGTGTGCTTAAAACTTAAACCACTATAAATACTAAATGGCAAAAGCTCCTAGGTCAGAAATCCTAATTCCTACGTGCCTCCATTCTAATAACTTGGTATCTTCTCTTGACACCTTCATTCTTCTTCAAGAAAAAAAGCCAAAGTAATCAATTTTCTTCACATTTTCTTCCTCAAACCATCATGGCTTGGTCTGGGCTAGCCTTGTGAAGGAGAGGGGTGCCTTGTTCTGAGTTGTCCAGCCTGTGAGTTGGGTGTGTGTGGGCTGACTCCACTGTTTAAGAGGGGTGAGCCATTCTACTTAGTATTTGATGATACAAGGAGCTACCTTTGGAGAGAAATGATCAATCTTGTGGGCGCATTTTCGTGGCCTTTCGTAGTCAGATCTTTGGAGTTGCATAGAGAGCTCCAAGAGCACCCCTTTTGCTGTTTTGAAGCTCATGGGTGTATGCCTCAACAGTTCCCTTTGTGTTTTCATGAATACAACATGAATTGAAGATGTAAAATAATTAGTTTTGATAATTTGAACGTTGGTTGATGAATCTAAGTGTTAAAATGCATGCTAAATCGATAGGGATATATGTATCTAGGTGAAAGATGGAATTTTAAATGGATATTTTTGTGCTAGGCTGCTGTTTTTGGCCTCTTTCGCGGCATATCTGGATATGATATCCGGATATGGCATATCCGGATATTGGGATAGCAACGAACCTGTTTCGATAAAAATTCGATATCTTGAGCTACAAAGCTTCAAATAGAGTTCCGTTTGGACCTATGTGAAGCTAACACATAGGGATACAACCCTGTAAAATTTTGTAGCCATTGGATAAGTGGTTTGATCTCAGTGTTAGTTTTAAGTCGTGTCTTGGTTGCTGGAAATTCAGTTTGCAGCAGTCACTTTACGAAAATCATAACCGGAGTTATACAACTCCGATTGAGAGATAAAATATGTCGTTGGAAAGCTTGTGATGTCTAGTTTAACATATTAAAATCTCAGAATTTTTGCTAAATAGTTGCGACTGAAGTTTTAAAAATGGTAGGCGAAGTTTGTTGTTGTATTCGTAAATAGAGTTGAATTCTTTGGAATGTTCTTGAAGGAAATGAATTATAGACTCTATGGTATTTGTAAGTGATGTTCTAAGGTTAAGGGATCTTAGGGAGTGGATTTAGTTTCTACCACCTTGAGTTGGTGTCACTACGTAAAGAATGGCTACGTAAAAGATAATATATAAAAGAATGTCGTAAACGAGCATATTTATTAATTGTCTTTATATCTTGAATAAGTTTTGATTTTGTGAGGGCCTATGATTGTGGTCCTTTGGATACTGAGAGCTCATTGGAGCATGTTGCGGATAAGGTAAGCTTTTATGAAAATGATATATGCATTGATATACGCCTGAGAAATGTTGATATAGCTGTTGATGTAATGTATGAATGTCATGTTAGTACTTGTACGATCAGGCAGCCACCCTGGTGTGCAAGGCATGAGGCAGCCTCCCTTATGTTTGGTAGGTAGCAGACGTGCATAAAACCCTATCCTGTTCCCTGACTAGTCGAACCATACTTGCATACATCACATGAGAAATGAACTGTTGTACATGATTTACTAAGAATTTAGATATATATTGTCTTGATTATATTGCTTTAACATGAACATGCATTGTATTTAATGTTTTGAACTTATTATATACCTGTAAGTGAGCTTGGGGCGGAAGAGTCCTTGAGGACCCCTTGTCTTACTGAGATTTTTTGTTAGAGATCTCACCCCGTGTTGGGGCACATTTTCAGGTACTGAGATTGTTGATGTTGGTGCATCTCAAGGCAAAAGGCCGGAGACAAGTTGTTGGCATGATATGCATGCATTAAGATTATGAAATATTTTGTAGTGAGGCATGCTTAATATTGACAGTATTTATTATGTGCATTTGATATGAGCATAGAGATTGTCTATGCCATATTGTAATATGCTTTATGTATTGTTGTTGAGGATTATGTATAATCATGTTGGTCCTTATTTTTGCAATATGATTTGCATGTGAGATGACCTAAGTAAAGGATTGTTAGGTGTCACCATTCAAGCATGAAATAGTTTTTTTAAACACAATGTAATATGACAACTTAGATGCCTAGAAAGATGTGAAATAGTTTAATTAAACTGATTACATGATGGTATGTCTTAGATAAGGACAACTAAGCATAATATAAAGTAATATGGGGCAAGGGGGGTTGAATGTTATAACACACCTAAAAATGCATGCTTAAAGGTCTGGAAGTGTTAAAATTTGAGCCTTGTAGGAAAAACTTGAAAAAAATGCATTTTTGGAAGACTGTCACAAAATATCCCGATACTGGAAAACCAATATTCAGATATTAATATCCGGATATGATATCCCGATATTGATATTCGGATATCCGGAAATATCCGGATATTAATATCTCGATATGATATACATGTAACGCCTGGCAACTTGCAAGGATCAACGACTGTCCCCACACACTAACACGAGACTTTTCAGTGTGCTTTGTCCTCACTCGCACACTTCCCGGGAAAACTTCCCAGGAGGTCACCTATCCAAGAATTGCTCCAAGTCAAGCACGCTTAACTATAGAGTTCTTCTGTTCCGGGCTACCGAAAAGTAGATGCATCTTGTTATTATAGGTAGTACCAATTAATTCTTATAAGCTATTCTCAACTCTACCATCCCATACCAGCACAGTCTCTGGAATCCATCTCTTTCGGGTGTTGATTCGATTCATTCATGAACCCCTAAACTGCAAGATTTGGCATGGGCCGCTCATTGTCTGTGCCCTTTCGCATTGGCGATCACTCCCTGCCCTTGCCAGCTCTTGGGATGTTACAATCCGGATATCGATATTCCGATATTCCGATATTCCTTTGGCAATATCCCGATATTTTGGTCTGGACAGCA